GGAACATTCCCCTAAATTTTCAGCTTCCTAGCTTTTGTGATTCCCGAGTTGAAAGTTGCGGACAAGATGCATTGGACACACGCACTCACATACACACACACGCGGATAAGCTCGTGGCAATATGCGTTTGGTGCAGCTGTTGCACAGCATAAAACGCATAAAAACTGATTCGTAATCGAAATAACCATCTCAGCATTATCCTCCTACTAATAAATTAATATCTTTAGTCTCAACACACCGAAGAGCAAGAAAAAGAAAAAAATCATTGGCAACGCGCACTGGGCGGGCCCGTGCGATTATGCATTTTTGCGGCGTTTCGTGCTGTAATAAGATCACTCGAAATTCTGCTAGCTAGAGACCTCTCTTACATACTGGTCCTCGAATTTCGGGAAGATAATTATCCAAGCTATGCTTGGTCAAGGAAAATTCCCTTGAAATCCTGGTTTCCCAGCTTTCTCAGTTGTCGAGTTACCAAAAAATTTCTCCGGGGCCGTACGTGGCAACCACGCATAACGGGGACTGAATTTGACAAATTTAAGTTGCAGATGAGTTGGAAACATTTCCTGAAAGTTTCAGCCTTCCAGCTTTCTTTGTTCCCGAGCTAGCGATCTTCGCGTCAGGAACCTTCACGGGGTTGTACGCGGGCAACACGCACACCTGAGGGCTAAATTTAAAATCTTTGATTTCTATGTGGACGGGGAACATAATCCCAAAATTTCAATTTTCCAGCTTTTCTGTTCCCAAGTTAGCAATTTTCCCGCCAAAACTTTGAGGTGCTCGTAAGCGGGGCCTAGACGTGCTCGAAGATTGTTACCGCAGCCCCGGAGTGGCACTTGGCCGGAGAATCCATTCGTAAAATTTTGGCGCCGGAGCTTGCTTGGGTGCCGAGTTGAAATACCCGGACAAACGCGCGCGCACACACACATACACACACTCTCACAAACACACACACCGGGGTCGTCACAACATGAGTTTTTGCACACATGCAAAAACGCATAACAAGCAAAATAAGCAAGCAATTCCAAATATCTCGCTGATCCATCACTTTTCGTCGAATAAAATTCACTTCGAGCACTGGCTTATGTGCTGACATTTAAAGTGTAGGTAATACGCCATCACTGATATGCTCCTCACTGATACTGATTTTGGTAATCGAGTTACTGCTGCTTGCGAAATGATTTTGTGTTCTTCTTTCAAGTTTGGGCCGCCAGTAGCTTGGTTCTTAATTTCTTTTGTGACTTCAAACGGTAAAAGTAAACTGATTGGCCTAGCTACACGCTTTTCGTTCGGTAGTTTGACGACAGCAGCATGAGTGTGCCCACCTCTTCTATTCATTATCTTGATAATTTTTCCCATCCTTTACTTACCACGAGATGTATTATTCTCTGCAAAACAATTCTAGTTCTGATTCGTGCGGTTGCATCTTCACCATACTTTTAGATTCGTGATAATGCTGCCGTGCCTCTCTTGTAATATATTGAAATAGTTTGTTTTCCAGAATTTCTAGAATCGATTCAAACTTTTGAGCAGCGTCTTCCATTGCTGAATGAGATTTTCACTAGATTTATCTTCTTGCAGGCGTCTTCATGTTTGTTTTTTCCCTAATGGTGAAATAACACTATCTTCAATTCGAACTGAGCAGCACTGTGGCAAATTATTAAATCGGGCAGCCTCTCCTCACCATGAATCTGCGCAAACAATTGGTGAACGAAATTGCAGACAAACCCTGCACCAGTTCCAAATGGACAGTTCGTGTTGTGAAACATGTGATGAAGCACACCCAACTTTTTAATAGCTGGGACACTGCTTCCACGGGGATTGGTCTGGAGCAATCAGAGCTGCGTATTAAAAAGTTCGGGATGGATTTACTCGCTCTGTTCGGTGATTGAAAATTTTGGTAGTAAGGGATGGCTTCGTTTTACCACCTGTTACATTCTTCACAATCTTTGATTACTTGTTTCATAAATGCTTTGCCTTTGAGGTATCCAAAAGTTTTGACGTACTGGACCAGTGCGTTTGTGCTGTTCTGTGCAGTTGGATTTCACGCTGATTCTGGACGATAAGCTTTGTTTGTACTGATCCTTAGGTAGATGTTTGGGAATCTCGTGTCTTGAGGAAGCTTTGCTTGTGCTATTCGATATCTGCATCTCCAAATTCCTTTTTCGTCCTGAATCGAATCCCATTTTTCCTTTTCTACCTCAGGTAAGTACCTATTTTGCAGATGCTTCGTTATAATCTTCCCACCGTACTCGATTCCTTTCCTTTTTGCCGCGATTTTTCGTAAATCTAATGACTTTCGTCAGGCAGCCCTGATTACTGACCATTTGCTAAAACGTGCAGGATTCAACCATGTTTTGAATTCATTTGGAGTGCTGACTGTACTGTTGACTGTTAACTCTTCTAAATTCTTTACGCTTCCAGGCTGTTCTCTATCTCCTTTGTCGCATGTTTAGGTCCATTATTTCAGTTCCAAACCATGTGATTATCGACCAGATGTTCCAATCGTGGCCAATCCTTGCTTGATAGGCTAATCCAAGATAGTCTTGACCACCACCACTTTCTGCCCTTTAATCCTTCGTTGGAAAATATTTCGATATTATCTCCGTGGCACGTATTTCATCAGGATGATTTTGGACAAATTTTGAATTGTTGGCTTTTGTAGAATTTATCCAGTGCAAAACGCATTTGCTATCACTGTACACGCAAGAAACAGCGTCATTCATGTTACGTTCATTCTTTACAAAATTTTGCACCCGAACTCCAATCAGTCCTGCTAACAGTTCGAGTTGTGGAATGCGTGCTCCCTTTATTGGACATTGTCGAGCCTTTCTAAAGATCAAATGTGTTTGGACATTCTGGCCATTTGCTTACCGAAAATACACTACTGCATCATAAGCCTTGTTGATGCATTAACAAATGTGTGTGTTTGAGGATTTCCCCCTAATGTTGCACTTGTTGCGTTAGATCGAGATGTGTCTGGCTCCAATTCTCCGTAAGCTTCTTTTCTGTTTGGCCGTCTTTGTATAATCCCTGATCCCTTGTTTATTGCCGATTTCAAGGATTTTGTAAAAAGCACTTGAGCGGAATCATAATTGGAAATATCAGTCCAAGAGGATCGAAGTTGAATGCAATATACTGCAAAATTTTTCTTTCATTTGAACTAGAGGTTTGCACAATTCCAGTCTCAAATTATACTTGATTGGCATTCATGTGACCGCCAAAACATTATTTCCTTCTCCATCTTACTGGGCATCCTTTGTTGGTAATCCAATCATAAATTCCTTGTTGCTGTGCATAAAATTACCTGATGCTCGTTTTGCCTTTGTAAACAATTCCTTCGTTTCTTTGCACTTTTGGATTGCTTCCTTGGTATTGTTGGCTGTTATCACTGCATTGTCCACGTAAGATTGAGGAGGATAAAGACTGAAGAAGATTTCGTTTTTGAAATGTTTTCTCAAAGTCGCTGCTAACAAAAATGGGTTTGATATAGCTCCAAAGGGTACTCTGTTGAGCTCTGTTACTGGCTTTTTTGTGTCTCTGAGCCGAAGGAATCTGGTGCAGTCCCTGTCCTGCTCCTGCAAACCCAATTGTGGGAAAGTCTTTTCAGCATCAGCTAGAACTACTATTTTGCTTTGCGAAAACGTAAAGGGATTCTGGACGAATTTGGTAACAAACAAGGTCCTTTGTAAAGCTCGTTGTTCAGTGATCATTCTTGTGAAGACTGATGCGTCGAAAACCACTCGCCATTTAGTTCTTTCTTTCACCTGTTAGTAAGGTAAATATGGCTTACAAGCTCTTGTTTTTGGTTTTCAACCACTTTCTCAATTATCTCGGCTTCAAACTGCGACACAGACGTTTGATCTAAAACTTGAGAAATTCCGGGCTTACTTGGAGCTTTCTAAGTGTTGATTTGAGTCGACTGAGGCAGAGCACGAAATTACTAACCAGTTTAGGTATCTCTCTTTCCCATAGCCAACTAACATTGTAACGTCCTGTCTCATCTCTGCTTACTGCTTTTTTTCCAAACTGCTGTAATATCTCTACAGTTTTCTGAACGGGTTCCTTGATATCAACGGTTTCTAACTTTCACTAATTCACACTTGGCTGCTCTTCTTGCACTGTGTTGACGATGATCGCAGTTTGAATGAGCGCACTTTTCGCCACCTCAGTGTTATTTATTGCTTCTTTTCCTGCTACAGTCATCCTACAGCTAAACCAATGAGCTGGAATCCAGTGTTTAGGACTGGGCTTTGTCGTCTTACGAACGTATAGTAGTCTAGGCCTACTATGATTTGTTGCAAATCGTAGTAGGCCTTGACTACTACGCGTTCGTAAGAGGACAGAGATCGCTGAATGGTCGCAAATGATCGCTGAATGAATAACATCTGGATTCTCTTGTTTTAGATATCGAGCTTCTTTATCGTTTATTCGAGCTATTCTTGCGCCAAAAACCGCACAGCGCTAGCCGTTATTTTATTTTGGAAGCCATGATTCACTTTGACTTCTCGCGAATCGTAAACTTTTGGCTGTGTTTCTTCAAATGCTGCTATTGAAAACGGCTTATGTGCTGTGCTGATGAATTTAAAGTTGCTCTGCCAGCTCATCCGTTACGAATGGGCGTTGGCATCCCGAAACAAATAAAACTGTGGCTTTAACTTTCTTATTTGGTCCTTCTGGGTTCACCACCAAACTGTTTTGCACTTCAGAAGTACAGTAATTTGAGTTTGATCAGTACGTCGACCACAGTTGCTTGAGTTTTGTGAAACTGTTCTCATTGCTACCACAGCTTCACTATTTCTTCCGCCCCGCTGACGGCATTCTGATGACATTCCGACTGCGGTTTTGCTGGTTCTTTATTTATCTATATTATATATTGCGAACTTTCTTGCAGTGAAAACATTGCGGCTTAATGCAGCGCATTCTGGATGTGTGCCCTTCTTTCAAACTTTTGAACCAAAACTGATATTCTTGGATCTGTTGTATTCTTTTCTCATAACGATCGTACTTTATGCAGTTATCGCCCCAGTGCTGACTTTTGCAAAAGACATAAAATACTTGCTTTCTTTCTTTTCCAAAGTTGGAGGCGCTGAAATTGGTTTATGAGTTGCATTCCTCACCTTTTCCTTTGAATTAGTAATTTTCTTCAAAATTTGATGCCGTTGGCGTAATTCTCTTACTCTGTCCACATCTTCTTTCCTTTTTGTTCCTAGGTTAGCCATGTTCCTTGGTTAACATTTCCCCTTTTATCGAATATAGTTCAACTAATGTCCAGCCTGGCAGCTGCTGCTCGATCATCATTTCCAAAAAAGCCTGATCTAATAGTTCTCGGAGTGATTCTAACTGACTCGAAATTCTCTTCATATTTTCGATATCATTATTCCGAAGTCTCTGTCACTAATCTTCAAATTCAGCAATTCGAAATACAAGTTACTAAAAGCAATGCTTTGTACCCAAAGAGATGCCTTAGGAGTTTCCAAATTATGGTATAATTCTCCACGCAAATTTTGTACCCTTCAACAGCTCTAACTGCTGACTCCTTCAGAAAAGAGAGCAAACAATTTAGCTTCAGAATACATGGAATTTGTCTTTGACCATTCGCTGATTGAAAATGTGCACTAAATTCTCTTCACTTCTTTGGATCCCCGTCGAATTCTTTCAATTGGAGCTTTGGCAGCTTAACATCCATCTGTTACACAAAACGTTGAGAAGGTTATAAATCGTCTGAAACATCCGGCAACCGTCCTGGAGAAACGCCTAGCTCGGACTTTTACTGGTTTGGTATATGCACTCCACTTTGCTGAGAAGTTGGTAATGAGTGCTATGAACAGAAAATTTGGGCCAATGAACTTAAAGCTTCTTGATGAAATGCTTCTAGTGCTCCTGGAGATACTGTCGCTTTTCCTCATTAAAATGCTTCTTTGTCTTCCGACGATGAGGGATAACCTAATGAGAAGCCTCTGAGTTCTCCCAAATAATGCCTAGCCTTCGTAGGTGCTGCCACTCTACGAATTCTCCAAGCACGATGATGACGAATTCCTGTGACAAATTTCCCAGTAGTTTAAACGTAACGTCGGAAAATTTGAATTCTGTTGCAACTTCTAAGTGCTGGATTCCGATGTGCATTCCCAGGCCGATGCATCCGATGCGCCAACGAAAAAAAAAATCCTTTTGTATTTGCCGAGTGTCACACACTCCACCAAAACCTGGTTAGGGAATAAAAATAGTAGTATCGGTGATTCAGATTTTGTTTGAACACGTAGGACGTATGAATTCGCCAGTACGTCGGCTCGGTCGGTCCCACACCCAAATTTAAGTTATTAAACCTTTATTTAGTGGATATAAAACGAGGATAGATAAAATGCGATCGCGTAACAATGCCAATGAACTTCATAATATCAACATTTTTCAATTTTCAAAGCAAAAATGAAAAAAGAAAGAAAAGTGCGAGGAAAAGGCGTTCGAAGACTGTCCTGTGTGGCTCAAAAACAAAAATTAACCAACGCATCGACTTTCGCGCCAAATGCTTCTACCTAAAGAATTAAGACTGGCCACCACAAATGTCAGAAACTGTTGCAGTGAATCCCAATCGTTGCTCAAAAAATTCAACACTCTAGGTGCTCTGGTTGCGAAGTCAAGTTCCACTTATTCGTACAAGAGGAGAGTGGGTGCTGTTTCTAACGCGCGCGCTTGGATAATGTTTGACCTAAATACAGTCCTGGGCTACACTCAGAAAATTTTGGAACTTCAGCTGTTCTGGTTGCGAAATTGCGTAAATTTTTCACGTGTTCGCGCGTGGCAGAGGAACGTGAAAATTCCTCTTATGTGCGATCACCCAGACACGATCGTATGTCATGCTCAGAAAATTTTACCGCTCTAGCTACTTCGGTTGTGGAGTTACGCCAAATTTTACGGGTTCGTGTGAGACGTATGTAAGAAACTAAGAGAATGTGAAAGTCGTTTTCACGCTCACCTGATCAAACGCTGTTGCCAACCACGCTCTGAAAGTTTCAGCCCTGTAGCTGCTTCAGCTCTAAAGTCAAAAAATTGGCCAACGCACGGACTGCCCGTGCGAAGATGCGTTTTTTGCAGAGTTCCCGCAATTTTTGTCACTATCGGAATCGGTTTT